CCGTTGTAAATGCAGTCTCATGTTCTGTACCTGCTGAAATTCTGCTGCTTGATTCTGGATTGTGTTGTATTATAATAACAAGTATGTAAGTAGTAATGCTCTTGTAACACTTGCCTCACTACAAAATCAAGTCAACGTGCTAAGCCTTGGTAAAGAAATACTGAATCAGTTAACTAATACCATTTTTAATTTGCCTAATTAAACTGCTTTGGCAGTGAATTAAAAATACAACGCTGTGTTGACTTGGTATAAAATGACCTCTCAGTGCACAGTTCTAAATAAACAGAAATTGATTTTGTTGACTTACATCAATATAACCTGGTTCTGTAATTTTGGCACACCTGTGAGGGCAGCAGTATTTCAGATGGTGCTGTTCTGTCTGATGCTTGCAGTGGAAGGTTTGAAATACCCATGCTGTCTTATGTAGGTTTGGTTCTAGTGTAAGAATCAGCTTGCCTGCAGAGCATCCCAACTAACAAAAGAAAAAAACCCAAACCCAACAAATTGGAAACAGGTAATTTATGTTTGAGGTTCTTTGTTGGAGGCAAAGGTGAAAGGGAAATAAAGATGGATTAGGATTATGGTGATAGGGAGAAATGCCTTGATCAGAGGGTTGTCATATTACAGAGAAAGGAATAGATACTTATCTTTTTCTCCCCATCCTTCCCCCAACCTTTCCTCTGTGATCTTTAAATTGGGCAGGAGATATAGTGGAGTTCATACTGTATATAAGCATGTCGTTTACTCTTTAAAATGCTTTAAAAATCATCTGTCATAGTATTAGTTTCAGATGTCTCAGATAACGAGGTGTTGGACAATCTGAGGTAGGCTTGGCTTAAATTAGACATTGTTTAGTAAGGGTTTTTTCTTTTAACATACAGAACTAGTTCAAGAACTGTTCAAGTTTTTACTTGAATATTTTATTCGATCGGCATCTTAGTTGGGTAGTCTGTCCTCATACAGTGTGGACATAAATGCTGGTTGCATCCCAGCTACTCCTTAGCTGCCTCTAGCCCTCTTGATTAAAATGTCTTTCATGGGAACCTTAACCTAGCAACTTTTGGGGATTTTCTTTAAGTTGCAGCAGTTACCAAAAGACTCCTCTGTTTTGTGATGAAAGGCTTGTTCTCCATCTTCTGGTTAAGTGATGAACAACAAGGAGATCGCACACACACAAAAAAGTGATCTTCACCTCTGTATCATTGAGGCTGACAGTAATGGTATTTCAACAGTTTCAACACCTGCAAAGGTTGTTTTGGTGTCCCTTTAGGATGTAACTTTGTGAAGTCCCACAGCTCAGAGATCATCTCGTGCTGATGCACTGGAGTCTAGAGGTTTTGTTTTGTTACGAGAGGTGTCTAATATAGTTTAATATCCCAACTACTTAATTAAAAAGAGAACATGTTTCAAAGCTATTCTCAACCATTCAGTCCATTTTCCTCATGGTACAGACAAGAAGCATCACAGGAAATGTTGCTGCATTCACTTAATCAAGTTTTGATAGTCTGCAAATGCTTCTTGAACCAATTCCTTTTTAAACACTGGGGCTTTGAGGACATGACTGCCCAGTGCATCTTCTTTTGTTCATTGGTAGTGCCTACTATCATCCTAATCATCTAATCAAAATTAGAAATTTACAATGAGTTCCTGGGGCAGGAATGATTTCAGCATTGTAAGCCAGTACTAATGCTGCTCTTTGGAAGGAGAGATCTGTCTGTTTACTTATTTACAGGTTTGCTTTTATTTTGCCAGTTCAGTTTCATGATTGATTTTTCTTTTGATTCTGTAATGTTACAGGCATAGTGCCTGGCTGTACACAAGAGTCAAGGCCACAAGTCCAACTTAGTTTGTAAATGATCATAAGTTGTACCTTGAAAGCAGACTGTTACCAGCTTTCCAGGAATTTGAGCAATGCTATTTTCATCACATGCTCAGTTCTTTAATGGTTGCAGCAACCAGTGAGATTATGCTTCAGGCTTACAAAGTTTTACTCTGAAAAACACAGCCCTCAAAAATATACTTAATTTGAATGAGATGAATGTCCAGCTCCAGCCCAAGAATCGGCATATTAGCTGTGTTTCCCAGAAGAAAAAAAAAAAGTTAATTCCCCTACTGTAAGGTCAAAAGACATCATCAGTGTCACAGCTGTATACCTAAACTTGATCAAGAGTACAGATCAAGTAATCATGTTTCTTGTATTTCATTTCTTAGGGCTTTTTCATGAACTAAGATGTCATTTCATCCTGTTATCTTTATTAGGAAAGCAGTGTCTTATACAGTGGACATTCAGCATTGTTTGACTCCTTTATCTAAAGACTATTGCTCCCAAGCCTGGCTGTTTGTGTGGACCTGTCATCACTTACCTACCTTTGCTGCTGCTGTGGAAGTTGATTTCATGAAGGGAGTTCTTACAGCCGCCCTTTGTGTGCCTCCTGAAGGCTCATCTCCTGATGACTGTATCAAGCTTGTTGCTTGGACTCTTCTCCTGTATGGATTTGTTTGAGAAAAGTCACTGAAATAGAAGTTCTGCTAGTTACTAGAGTAGTTTGGGAGGTACAGCTTACCTGTGTAACTGCTGTCTGTCATTTTCCCTGTCTCTTAGTTCCTTGAGCAGGGAATGGAAATGGCAGTCCTAGTCATGTTCTAACATACTTCAGTAAGCTTGCTCTTACCCAGATACCTAAAGATGTAAGAATCTGACCTTAAGAGCTGAAGAAACATGTAGATGTGGACTGTACATCTGAAACTCCAGTTAATAGTAAATAATACCTTGTTTTAGTATGAAATGTATTTTAATGCAGCTTGGATATTGTAGGGCTAGTTTTAGCAGAGAGGGTTGCTAAGTGTAACTTTTGGAGGTAGGAAAGCATCCTCCAGTGGTTGCATTTCTACAACAGCATTCATGTAAGGGTTTTGATAAAGATTGAAAAAATATATTGTCTGAATATTACCCAGGGTTAAATATTTTATGCAGTTTAAATCACAGATACAGTACTGATTTTTAGTGCACAAATTGAGATTATTCCCTTTTTTAGTGCATTCTTGACTGTATAAGCAGCTGCTGAAATATATATGCCTGTTTCAGCCTCACAGAGGAACAAAACTTTGCTGCTGTGCTCTGTGAGTACAGGACTTGGCTTGATTAACAAGCATGTCCTGACTAGGGAGATAAATAACTTAATGAGGCCCAAGGCTGGGGGGTAAAATTCTCTCTATGGTTGTAAGTAGAGCACAACAATGATTCATTAAGCAAAGCAGAATGAATTTGATTTTCTTTGTACAGTTGCAGTGCTGTATAGTCTAGGGACATCCAGACAAGGAAATCTGACAAACTGATGAATACTTTTGAAGGGTGTGGTGGGTGTAAGTGCTTAATATAGTTCATGTAATGGCTTGGAAATGGCTGATCTAGATATATGAGATAAAAATAGTACTATTTAATGCTGAAATTAGTGTCATTATGTTACAGTGTAAACTGCTTGCTTTATATAGTGTGTTTGCATCTGTACACACTGCTTTTAACGGTTCACCAAACATTTTTTGTTAGGTGGTAAATTCTGAGAATTTTCCAATGTGCTGATTATATCTACTTTGGTTTTGATTAACTACTACTAAACCTTGTATTTTCAAAATCAAATGTCATTTGTTTCAGTTTATCCTTATTAATCTAGATATGATTGATGTAGTGTTGGTTCGTCTTTCATAGGTTCTGAAGGTGCTGTTGTAGTTTTTCCCTAATCCAGTTGTCTGTTATTAATGACTAAATGGTATTTCTATAAAGTACCTAGTTACCTGGGAGAATTCCAGCAGGGTTCCTTCACAATGAGCCTATGGTTTTCAGTATCCTTCCCCGTGCAGATCAGATACTGCCTAGCTAGAGGGTTTTTTTAGCACGGCAACTACCTCTTTCCTGCCCCATGAAACTTGAGATCTTCTGATCTAGTTGTTACAGGTCTCCATGGTCACTTGTCATGGCTTGCTTTATGAATCAGTGTATCTCTACTGAAGCTTTTTCTTCTTTAGATTTTAGGTGTTGCTGTCTTTTCAAACAGCTGGTGAGAATCCTCTTGATAATTCTTCAGTCATGCTTCTCAGATGACCAATTTCTTAGTTACATCTACACACTTCCTTCTCCTTCCTCATCCCTTTCTTCCCTTTTCTGCTTAACTTAAAACTCTTGGGAGACTTTCAGCATAAGTTGGCCTGGCTTGGTAGCTAGCTTTGAATCTCCTTCACTTGCCAAAGCTTGCAGTAGTCTTGTTATTTGTTGCAGTCTTTTAAAGAGGACATTAGCAAAAGTGGACATCCAAGGGGGACGTGGTTGGAATGTTGAGTGAGAACATTACTAGCTACTCCACCTTTGTGTGTGTTTGAGTCCTTGTTTCTTGGCCCTGACTGAAATGAATAGAAGACTTTCATACTTTGGGTGATGGTAGTTACTCCATCAGCTTTTTGACTAATGAGGTTTTCGTGTATAAATGGTGTCTTTAAAATATTCCTTTCAGGACCATGTATAATCAGTATCCTGAAGATACCTGTATTGGCAAGGCAGCAAGAGGAAAAAGATATAAAACTAGTCCTCAAAGTAGAGAAATTAAAGGCTAATACTTTCAAATTTAATTGCTTTAGAAGCTGAACTGTAGGGCTGAATGTCTAAAAAATGAGTTTTCACTCTATTACAAACTTTGAAAAAAGTCAGTATGCATGTTCCCAGATATGCTCTTCAGGCTTCTATATTTGGAAAACATGAATATGAAATGAATTGTATGGAGATGCATGTATAATGACATTTTAACGTTTTTATACAATCAGAGACTGGTTGTGTGTGGAGTCCAAGTTCCAGTAGTTAATGAAACAATTTTAAGGAAAAGAGTCATGCTTTGAGAACAAGTAATTCGTATTAAGGAGACAGGTAGTGTACTGGTGATGAGTATAAAACCAAAACCTTACATTTGTTCCTGAATATTTTTTTTCATTGTTTTTTCCCTTTTCCTAAACAGACTTTGCTGGAATATGCACAAATGTGGAAAACATTGGAAGACCCTCTCCCCCTGCTGGAGGTGTATACAGTGGCTATCCGAAGTTATGTTAAAGCGCGACCTTACCTTACCTCTGAGTGTGAAAATGTAGCCTTTGTGCTTGAACGTTTAGCATTGTGAGTATGTTTTTTGGTTACTAAAAACAACCTCTATGGTGCTAAATTTTCACTGCCTAAATGCTTTCCCAATCCTGTTCATAACCTATAGAAATTCTAAATAGATTGGGAAGTATTTTCTTTCCTCAAGGTAGATGTTATGTGTGGGAGAGAATACGTTTGGTTGTTGGAAATGGGGCAGTCTTGAGGACTCCTCATCTAGGACAAGCCAATATCTCTGGCTTGAAACACTTTGATGCTATTAGTCTGCATGCAGTCTAAAGTGCATCGATTTACCCAGGATGTTACATGCTAGGACTGCAATTGTAAACATTTCTGGGTTTGATTTGAGGTTTCTTTAATGTTTCTCTTAAAGAGTTTGATTTTTGCAGTTTCTGAAAGTCTCCATGACCTTGTTTTCTTTGTATATGCAAATAAAGCAAACTGGTTGTGATTTGGGCATTTCAAACAAATAACTATTTGGATACTAGAATAAAGAATTGCTTTGTAAAAGTAAAATTTATCTCAAATAATGTTCCCATTTGAATTCCAGAAGCTGTATTGAACTTCTACTGTGTCTGCCTATTGATTTTCCTGACAATAAATGGGAAGAATTTCACGCTTTTGTGCAGGTGAGTTTGATTCATGAAATGAAGACTTAGTACCTTGTAAGAGTGGTTTGGAAACCTAGGGATATTAAGTATGTAGCACGTATGAAGACTTGTGTCCTGGTGGCTGATAAAAATCAAGACCTTTAGCTGGAAATCCTCTGAATTACAGCAATTACGGTGGAGTATGTGTTATTTCTCTGTCATCGTTCATGTAGCAGCTGCAAAAAAATACTTTCAGATGCTTGAACCTCATGTTTTAAAATATATTTGCCTATTAACACTGTTAGAAATGAAATAATATGTCATTCTTTACTATTTATGGTTGCACAATTGAGATGTATTATGAACAAAAGATCTGTCATTACTGCAGGATTGTTAGATCTCCCACTAACAATAGCACTAGCTGGTTAAGGATTAGAGCTGTTCTTTAAAGGAGGGTGTTGAAACAAGTTCTGCTCCTCAGTATTTATCAGAAATATGTAGCAGGAGGCCCTACCTACAGTTAAAAATGGAAAAAAAATTGAAGTGGGGGTTAGGGAGGAGGAAGGAGTAACAGTGGAAAAGACCAGATACAGTTACCTTGGGATTCTCAGCCTAAGTAACATAGGGGGTTGCAAGACTGATATTTAGAGTGAATTCTGACTAGCAACTGCCTTATGTGAATCAATTCTGAAAAGATGCACATGGTGCTGTGAGGTTCCACAGCCTTCAGATTCAGAGCAGGGAGAAAAGTAAAAGTGAAGGGGAGAAAGCGGTGACCCCTTTCTGGGTTTTTTTTAAGGACCAGTGTTAGTTGTGCATTGGTGCTTAAGCCACAGATTTTTGCAGGCATTTAGTGTGCTCCCAAGCATACATCTGCTTCCAGAATTTATTCTAGTATCTAAAGGCAGTAGAAAGAGCTTAAATCTTTCACCTTTACAAACATATTTTTTTCAGTGCTCCAGCGAATAAAAATTGAGCTGCTGAAGAGTTTGAAAATAATTAGATTTTAGGCAGCTGATGCCAGACCAGTCTGTGAACCAAAGAATTTACTCATTCCTTTCTAAAAGGGAGGCCTATTCAAAATTTAGTTTCGGAAATCTAAGAAATAGTCCTGTTAATAAATCTCAAGGCAAGTTTGGGACACTCAATCATTTGGGGTTTTCAGCCTAAATCTTAGGAGACAGGCAGGAACAAAACCTGTGTAGGCTGGATATTAAGTTTTTTTGTTATATGTTTAATTCTTTATCCAGTTTGTTTTTTTTTTTATTTGGCATCAGGTAAAAAGAATTATAAAAGACACATTCTCAGTATTTTTTTTAACAATACTTCATTTTGTAAAATACATTCTTCAGCTTGCTCACAAAAGCTTGATGGAAAATGGCAGCCAGGAACTGCAGATTTTAACTACTCTTACCCAAGAGAAGGGAGCATGGAAGAACCCAGTGTTGTGTGGTATTCTTTCCCAGGAACAGTTGGATCCAGATAAAGGTAAAATTTAAAATTATGATTGGAATAAAATATGCCTGAATGTTTCACTAATACATTGGAATACTGTGATGATACATGGAAGTTTTGTTGAATATAGTTTCTATGATAATTTATAAGCTATATCAGAAAATATACTTCTAGCATTGTCTGAATGCTGTATATTCCTAGAAACATACTGAAAACAATGTGTTCGTAGGAATATACAAAGAGTTTAATGTTGGTGTTTTGCATAAAATGCAATCATACCCGGAGATCTCTTGCCATTTTCTTCATAAGCTGTGTGAAGCAAGATCATGTACAGGCTATATTTTACGATGGGGTAAGTTCAGTACTGGTATATAAAAATTATTTGACATAAAACAAGAAAATAGGAAATAGAAATGAGAATGGCATTTACTCAGTAATGAAACACAAAGAGGGACATTATTCATTTGAAATTAAAGATTCATTTAGACCAGAGTTCTGAGAATGGCTACCAGCATTTGCATAGGGAAGAGTATATGATCCAACGAAGCTTTCAATAATATTTTCCTGATGTATTATTTCCACTGTTAATGATTTCCAATTCGGAAGTGATATCATTGTATTAATAAGTCTTAGCTGTTCTTTTGATTCTTTACCTGATAGGTTTTAGAATCTGAATGAAACATCACACCTAAGCATCTGTGGCTGTGCACAGTTTTTATATCACGTAAAGTAGTTCTTCTACTGTCTGCCTGCTTTTAGCCTGATGCTTGCTTGGGGGTTTTGAGGGACTTTTTAAAATGCTTTTAGAAAATTAATTGGATCTCCTTTATTTATATTATTACAACTTCCTCAGGTAAGTCCAGTAAATATATAATGTGATTTATCATTTATTTACAAAAGTCTTGCCTACTCTTCCGCAAGACTTGCATTTTGCTGCTTCTTAAAATAAGTGATTATGCTTCTGCAACAGATTTTGGATTTCTATACAGTTCTTGGAGTGCCCCGGAGTACTCTTTTACTAGCTTCTTATCAACCACCTTCTAGCCCTCTTAACAGTAAGGTACTTCTGAGAAAGAGGTTTAATTAATGCTTTACTTGCCATATATTTGAGGGGGTTTAAGAATTCCCTCACGAATCTGGTTTTGATGACTCTTCGTTTTATCAGTGTTTCCCCCTCCCCCCCAGAAAAATTTTTATGGACATTGTGGGATTCCTTTTGCTCCTGAATGTTGTTTATTCAAGATGCTTCTGCATTGGACTTGACTGACTGACTGACTCCTGTTACAGTTATTACTTGTATCTGTGGCAAAATTATCATAGTACTTATCCAGATTTTTGCTACTCAGTTGACAAGCTGTTATTTAGCTGTTGTCATCCTCTGTAAAACTGCATTGTTTTGTGTCATCATCTTGGTAATTTGAAGAATATTTTAGTAATTTGAAAACTACTTTAGTAATACCAAAAGTCCATAGCCCAGAGAGCTGACTTTCTTGTCTGTAATCCAGCACTCCCTCTGGCTACCACTCACCCTCTTTCAGTGGACAATTGTCTCTCAGCAGTCTTCAGCCTTAAATTCAGTCATTGGAATATTTGTAAACTTCACTTACTAAATTTTGCGTTTATTCTTAAAGTGGCCTTTACTATTTGCTGTTTCAGAAAGTTTGGGTTTGTTTTTTTTTTTCCCTGATATAATTCTCTTAACCTTTTGTTGCCTGTATTTGTTTTAGGTTTTTTTTCAGGTTTGTGTTATTTTGATTTTGTTAGTCTAAATTATGACCTATTCAAAGTAATTGCAATCTGTTCAGAATCTTCAGAATCACTGAATCAGTGATTAGCTGTTCTTGAAGGCCTCTGTTGCTGACTCCTGAAGGTCAGTTTGCCTCTTTGCATCTCTTGTAGGAAGCACAACTAGGTGTATGTTTCATATCAGAAACGGATCCTTTTGAATTTCTCTGTTTTCAAATCGTACAAGCTCAGGACATAGTGAGAGACAAGTTCATTTTCTCTGACCACGCAGCTATCAGAACAGCTCTTTTGTTCTGATTACAGTCAAATTCATAGAATCATAGAATCAAGTTAAATGCAGGCTTGTCTGAACTGGACTATTCTCTTGCTCTTCTAGTTTGGGCAATGGACTGTTGCATGGGTGCCTACCCTATATGAGCAGGAAGTACTCACTTCTTGAAATGCTAGGGAGACTGCTCTCTCAATGCCATGTCACTAAGTAATTGCTTTTCTCTGATTGCATTGGGCACAGCTCAGTTTTCCTGGAGAAGGATCTGAGAATAACCCCACAAAAAGCCAGGGTGCTGCTCCTTTTTTAATCTGATTCTGATTTATCCTTAGAGATTTAAACCTGGATGCCAAGAATTAACTTACTGAATTTTTTGCAAGTTTAAATGGGATAGGCAGACTTTTGAAGTATGTCGCACTGCAAAGAGGTTCAAGGATCCAACCATCACTATTCAGAGATCACCAGCATACGCTGCACTGTAAAATGTATTTATAAAATATTTTTTTTAAAAAGCAAACCAAAATCTTCTCTGTGAGACTCTTCCCCACCATAGATTTGCTCCTGCAACCTTGGCACCGGTTTTTGTCTTAAAATGGCATACACAGTTCAGTTACGAAATAAATATAATTAAAGCTTGTGTTTTGAATGAGCTTTCAAATGTTAACTGTAATGACTATAATCACCTGGATTAGAATAAAAGCTTAAGAGCTAATATGTAGCCTTAACCTTGAGGTCTTCTTGTATCTGGTTGAGAAGATAACAAAAAATGTTCTGATGATTATGCAAGGTAGGCTGGCTGAAGCAGAAAACAATAAAGTAAGGGGATTATTCAGGACTAGCAGATAGAAGACAGTCTCTAAAATATTAAATGCAGTAATTATAATAATAAATCAGAGTGAAACATCTTGGGTTACCAGTATAGCTTAAAGTCTAAGGTCTTCCTGTATCTTGTTACAGAAATAAGGTAAAATGTTCCATTGCTATTCCAGGCAGACTAGCTGGGAGTAAATGCTGTGGGAGAAAGGATTACTGGTACCTGGTAGGAGGAAGAGCAAGGCTAAAACTATTGAATATAATTAATCACTGGGTCATTTGTGGTTTGACAAGAGTATGAGTTCTTTTTGTAAAGCATTGGTAGTGACATTAAAGGAACATTTATTCTGCTGCTTTAAAGGCAAATATCCTCTAATTAACACACAGAAATAGTTACTGTCTACTAATTGTCTGTCAGGGCACACTAGTTTCTTCTTGCATAAATAGAAATCTGGTCATAATCTTCATCAACATGGAGAGAGGAAGAAAGAACTTGTAAGAACATTCAGTCAAATACGCATCAGTAACCTGTAGCTGAGCATTTGTAATAGTGCAGAAGGATTCTAAGCAAGTAACAGTCATTGGTTGAAATGATAATTCAACCATAAATCTCAAAATGCATGAAAGATAACGCTGGGGTCTAACAGGCCTGATGTATCCAAAAGGCAGGATTTTCTACCCTAAAATTCTGTGTGCTAAAACAATAAAAAAGAGAACGGTTGACCTAATTTTGAATTGCAAGATGGGCTTTTAGTAATACCCTGTGTAAGTAGCTAGAAGGAGAAATCATGAGATAAAATGAAAGACAGTCATGAATCAAAAACTAATGAACCTTTCTTTCCCCTTTTGTAAAGAGCTGGGGGGGGGAAGTACCTCTGCTCTTCATGTCATATGTTACACATTCCTGGTGGACCAGTTTCCCTGGTCTTGCAGCCAGCTGTTTGACACACATGTGTCTGCAGCAGTTCTTGGGGCTAGTAGCTCACACCAATCCTCAAAGTAATGAATGGAAGAGTCTTAACCTCAGCTCTTTCCCACTCATCCTTCAGGCAGTGGATGGAAGAGTCTTAACTCCTCCCACCCATCTCTGAAACAAAAGATAGGTGGATTTCCATCTCAGCTTCTCAGACCAGTCTTTGAGACAATGGGCAGTGGAGTCTGATCTCAGATCAGTCTCTCACAGAGTGGAAACAAAATGCAGTAGAAAATTCTGTTGTTTTTAAAAAATGAGAGAACATGTCATGATACTGAGATGTGGATAATTGAAAACTAAAAAGGCTTTTCATGCAGTATGTAACTAGCTTGTGGAAACAGGTGTCACAGGGAGGGGATGATGTTGAAAGGATTAAACAAAATCGATCATCTCTGTGTCTAGTTTTATTAACTGACTAAATATTTTTGGGGTAGTACTAAACCTCGTGCTTCAAAGTTGAAGCAATTTTGATTTTGAAGATCTAGATGATACCTGAGATATATGTGTAAGCACATTAACCTGTGCCTTCCCTTTTTTATAGGATTCTTGTGCCTTACACTGAAGCACCTACAGTTGCGTTAGTGTAGGCAGTGGAGTTGTAACTCAGGCAGCAGCATATCTGCAAAATACAGTTGAATAAAATACAACCAGTCCTGTGTCTTTGAGTCTTAAACTATACAGAGTTGAATGTATACAAGATAAGCTTCTTCTTGGAGGAAACTTACTTGGCTGAAAAACTTTTAAAGGAGTTTGACTGCATTCTGTGTATGTGTAACACAAACTATTTAACACCCATGGAAGGGACTTCAGATAATTCTACACTCACCACATTTATCCATTCATGGCAAGGTCTTTAAAAGACAACTGTTAGCAAAGAAATAGCATAAATGCATGAAGAAGGATGTAGGAGTAGTGGTTTCGTGTTACGTGTCTTTCTGTAGAACTATAATCAAAAGGTATCTGAATATTTTAATATCTGTATGCTTTCTAAATCTGTTTTGTGTGCAGCTATTTTGCCAAGAAATCAGAAAGAACCAAAACCTCCAAGTAGATAAAAGGTCTGCATTAGGGAATCCCTATGATAAACAAGTTCAGTTCTAAAAGATGCTTTGTCTCATCTTCATAACTTTTTTACCTTTTCTGACTTGTATAAGTGAATGAGTAAATGTCATGTTAACTCTGTAACCTGCTGTAAAACGTGTATTTTGGATTTTTTTTCTTTGTAGTGAATGACTTTTTAGTGTTTGAAGGCCCTATACTGCTGGATATGCGCATTAAGCACCTGATGAAAACAAAACAAATACCACAGGCTACGGTCCTGGCAAAACTCTGCTCTGACCATGCAGAAATCAGCGCAAAAGGCAATTTTAAGCAAACCTACCTGGTCTGTCTTTGCTCAGGATCACCAAATGAAAAGCTAATGGAAGAAGTAAGTAAAAGATGAAGAACTTTATTTAGACTTACTTTTTAATGATGATAAAGTCACTAAATGTATGTTGTTTTCCTGTAGAAGAGTTGGGGTTTGTTTTTAAATATGATCTGAAATATTTTGGTTGGGTTTTGGGTGGTTTGGTTTTTGAGTTGGTTTTTTTTTGTGAGTAATTTTCAACTGACTAGTAGTGACTCAAGACACTTGAGGAAGTGTAATATGTGGACATTTTCTGGCTCTGCCAAAACTTTTATTTGCTTCAAAAAGTTCTGCCTCAGATCTTATTAGTGAAGGAAGATGATGGCTTTCCCACTCTTTCTATGTTAACTATACCCTTTTATGTAGTACACAGTACATAGGATGGGGCCTTTCAGATGCTACTTTCAGTTCAGAGAATAAATGTAACCTTTTTTGACGCCAGTGCCTGGGTGAAGTTGAAGGTGAAATCAGGTATTTGACCTCATTTGGAACATAAAATCTTTATTTAAATGCAAAAGTTAAAGAAGAGATGGCAGCTTTGCTTTTCTACATTCTTTCAGGTGACATCTTCGTTTCTTACCCCACCCCAAAGTTCTGTCTGAGCTTTTTTTTGTCCTTTTTAAAAGAAAACTAAGCGTAGTTGTCAGTTTTCTTGTCTGCCTGCATCTCTCTGCTGTCTTTTTCTCTCCGTCATCTTTTTATGTCATTAATAAGTATGTTGAAATTGATCTTAAAGGGATGAAAACTACGCAGTGTCTAGAGACAGAAAAATTTCCTACCTAGATACAGACTAAATTCTAAAATGACAGCTTCTCATTGGGTGTGTTCTTCCAATATTCAGGATCAGATTGATCTTACCCTTCCAGCTTTGGCTGCTGCAGGCCCTGCCAGAACACGCTTAGGAGGAGCTGGGACAGGGCTGTGTAATCTGTTGTGTGTTTGCTCAATGGAACTTGGAATTTGTAACCCTGCAAACATGCTTCCTTCATTACTCAGCCGCAACATGCTCCCAAAGCAGAATGGGCTCAGTCAGTGAATGAGCCATGAATCCCCATGGACAAAAGGAGTGGAGTGGTTTGGTTTGTAAGAATGCGTTCAGAACAGATAATTTCAAACTGGGTTATTGCAGAGAACCTAATACAGAGATTTCCAAAGCTTGGATTGCTTGGGTTACTTAGCTTTGCAGTTTCAGCTGCAGCATGGGTTGCAGTATTACTAACCATTCTGGAAAGTTAGTGTGTACCAAGAGAAGGCTATTAATATGTTAAGATGGATGTCAGAACTGAGAAGGGTAGTTGTTTCACAGTGGAAGAACAGCAAGAAAATAGACAAAAAAGGTAAACTGTAAATAATATAGCTTACTCTGTAGTGGCATGGAAAATTTGATATCTGTTCAGAATAAGCAGAAAAGTAGCACTTGAGCTAATTTTTGTCTTGGATTAGTCTATTTGCTTCAGTAATGTGAAGAATTCAAATCTGCAGTACGTAAAACCTAGACTGACAGTCTTAATGGCTGGACCTGTGCAGACCTTTGCTGGAAGCTGGGTCCCTTAGGAACAGTGAAAAGCTAGAAAGGCATTTCAGGGAAAAAAATCCTTTTATTGTAAGTTCAGTTTCTCATACTCTTCCCTAAGCTTTTAACTCATGGTCCCTGTGAGATGGGGCACTGAGCAAAGTAGACCTTTAGTCTAAATTGGTATCACAAGTAATCCATCCTCTCTGAGGTCTTGAGAAATGCAGTCTTCTTTAGACAATGATTTTGAGGTTTTTAAACCTCAAATGATGTCCAGTGATGGGTTATTAGCACACTTACAGTGTCCATTTAGAGGAAAAAACAAGTTACTGTACCCTTCAAAATAGTAGTTTGATTGTGGGGCCAATAGCTGGATAACGTGATGCCCAACCAAACTGTGCTGCCACCTTATCCAAAGTACTGAACTAGTTGGGTGTTTGGGTGGGTGCTGCTGTTTCTTGCTTTGGGTGGTCTTGTGGTTTCTCAAGAGAGACTTTGACCAGTGCTTTTTCAGTGGTCAAATTATTTTTCAGCTGTCAAAGAATAAATACCAGCATGTCCTGCCAGATGTGCTAATTGAAGTCAGCAAACCAGTCTGCTGAAAATCAAATTAGACAGTAGATGTAACAAGTGCTGTGATTCAGTACTGGTACAACTGTCTAGTACTATTGGGTGACTGGTTTTCCCTTTGTTTTCTTACAAAACAAAGTGCTTCCATCATTGCTTGAACAAAAAAGTTATGTTGCAGAGACTGTAATGTTTTTCTAGAAGATAACTCGGTTGATCTACTTCTTACTGTACAGCTTCCCCTTTTATCTTTGATTTTTTAAAAACACAGGAACAGTCATGTTGAACCTCAGCTTTGTTAATCATTAAATCATTAAATTAAACCTGCTCTTGTATTAAAGCATCAGCAACATCAGTGACTAGTGAACTGGGTTAGAATTTCAGGAATAATGTTCTTCTGTGAAGCTGCAGTTTCAAGTTATAAGTCTGCTTAGTACAATTGTTATATATAGGTGACCATTTTAGGTGACTGGGACAGTAAATATAAGTAATTCTTACGTCTGAGAAACAAGTTTATATTCATTTTAATAAAACAGTTTTTTCTGGTGGTGTTATCAGTTTTGACACTCTAGAAACACACTGGTTTGCTTTGAAACTTACCTCTGATAGAGTTAAATATTCATTAAATTCTAACTTACTGTCTTTTTGCAAAGGATCAGATGAGTGTATGTCTGAAAATGAAAACACTTGCTTAGTCTTGGTCCTGTTTTCTTTCTTCCCTTCTAGATCTCAGAAGTGGATTGCAAAGATGCTCTAGAAATGATCTGTAACCTAGAATCTGATGGAGATGAAAAAAGTGCTCTGATTTTATGTGCAGCATTTTTATCTCGCCAGCTGCAGCAAGGAGAGATGTACTGTGCCTGGTGAGTTTGCAAATGGTTCTCTGTCTAGTGGAATAAAATTTAGTTTGGGGAAGGTAAAGCTGATATATAAGCCCTAAGCCAACTTTTCTTTAGCTGATAAAATCTGTGAGCTAAACAGGAAAGCAGTAAGGCAAAAAGTCTAAGCAAATATAAGGAAAAAGTATTTGACAAGATTTGCTTCCATTATGGGAATTTGAAGGTTGAGTGTATGATGAGGCATTTACAGATGCCACTAGCTGGTTAATAATTTTTCTTGACACATAATCGTAGGCTGTCGAAATAAGGAATACATTATCTGCAGGCAGCATGTCAGGATTATATCAACATTTAATCACAGAATCACAAGTGGTTGAGGTTGGAAGGAACCACTGTGTGTCTTTAGTCCAATCTCCCTGCTCAAGCAGGGACACCTAGAGCACATGGCTCAGGACTGTGTCCAGACAGCTCTTGAATATCTTCAGAGAAGAAAACTCCACAGCCTCTCCGAGCAACCTGTTCCAATGTTTAATGTATTAAGTACTCTTCCCATCTGTCCTTATAATGTAGTATATCTCTCTAACAAACTTCTAGAAAAGAAGGAGCTCTTTATTTCTTAAGCTAGATAAAGATAAATAGTGCTTAGGGCTTGCTTTCCTTGATGTGGGAACAAGTAAGTGGCCTTTGTTGGCAAGTATTTGAGCCACTAGGGCCTGAATTTCCAGCTGCTAACAGTTTGGTTGTACTTACAAACCAGTACAGTTTCTGAAGAATTTGCTTTGTTTGTGCACCTCCTTTTTATGTGCAGTAGCAGGAGCACATCTGCTGATGCAGAATTTTGCTTTAACAGATGCTGCTAAAGTTTTGGGGTACTAAATACTCCTGGCTATTTGCACCTAAGGAGGAAGGAACTAGTGAATGAACAGTAATACCCTTTGGCTTTGGGGGCTAATTTTTTGGTAAATCATTGTTAGATTCAGTTCTTAAAGCCGAGCAGCTCAAGAAAAACATATCTACCACAAAGAAGAGCCATTCTCCTAAAGCTGTTAGTAATTACTAAGAATTCAGAAGTGTAAAATTCCAGTCTGTGAAGAGTAAACTACTTTGCAAGACTTTTTTCAAGACCACATAATAAGTTGTAAATTATATAGTGTAAATTGTGGTAATACTGATTCTATTCTGATCTGTTCTTCTGGAATTGAGTCACTGTAATAATTTTGAAAATTAGATACAATTAGTGTGCCATATTAATAAAAACTTTTCTCTGTAAGATAAGATGCGAATAAATTTAGTGGGTTTTTTTTTTCCTTTCCCAAAGACCAAATAGAAACTGTCCTCAACCTTGCATTTTTAGATTAGTGGTTGCATTGCTGGCTCTGAAATACTGTTCTCTTGTTCTAGGGAACTGACTCTTTTCTGGAGTAAACTGCAGCAAAGGGTAGAGCCTTCTATTCAAGTGTATCTAGAGAGATGTCGTCAACTTTCTGTGTTAACTAAGACTGTTTATCACATTTTCTTCCTGATTAAAGTAATTAATTCTGAGGTAAGGATACTCCTGAAAGAATATTTTTGGCACTGTTAATGGAACTGTAATCAGGAAAATTTATGAAAGCTGCTTAGACATCCTGTCTCTTGTGTAGCATCAGCTTTGGGGCAATCCTAATTGGTTTCAGGAATGGCCATAGTAACTTCCTTCTGCAGGTAAACTATAAGTTGATTCATTTTGAATCATAAAAATTTCTTAATTTCTGTGGAAGAAAAAGGGGGGGGGGGAATAAACAAGAGCTGATCCTAACATTCCTCCTCCTTATTTTCCGTATCTCAGATATTACAGAAAATGGAGAGGAAAACATTATGAGAGGAAATGAAGGCTGTATATTAATATCTAAGAAAATTACAGAAAGTTTAAAAAGAATATCAAAAACCTCCTTTTGAATTGACACTTTAAGAATGCAGTTTGGTTTGATAAATGAAACACTTGCCTTTTCTGGACATAGATCCAACACTGTATTAAAAACTCTGTTAAATCTACCTTGCCTAACGTTGTGGTCTAATTTCCGTAAATTCCTCTCATTAGTAGTTGCACTATTTAATGTTTATAGCTACAGTGAGTTATTCTGAAAGCTTTTAGTTGGGAGGTTTCTGTAATTTGCTATATTCTAAGAATAAACATTCCTTTTTTCCTTTTGCAGTGTTGTGGTCTGGCTAATCATGGGCTTCTAATCTTAACAAGTATTTTTTCCAAAGATCTGAGCTAAATTGTAGTTACAGAGGGGGAGAAAAATAACTGTCACGGAGTCTTGCGATATTAAGAGCTCTGTCTGCTCTGTGCCGTACTGATGTTTCTCTAGTGAGCTGTGGATCATTTCATGGATAGCTGAAATTGGAGACCATGTGGGTAGTGGACTTGCGCATTTATAAACTCAGCAGACTTTATTCTGATGTATACCACAGCCTCTCTATACATCCTTGGCAGCATCAAGGGACTGTAAAGAGGACATAAATGTAATTTATGTTGCCTGAGGGTATGAGAAAAGACCACATGACCTTTGGAACACTTAAATGATGGAACATTTAACTGTGCTTATTACTTCAGTTGGAGTGAAGCCATGTGCTCATTCAGTTGAGGTCACTTGACTTTGAAGTGGCATGATCTTTAAAAACAAAAATAAACTTTTATCCTTTAAGTGATTTCTTTGTGAAAATCATGTGCTTCTCTTACTTCACCTGTAGCACTTTTACTATTACACAGTGTTAATACTCCATAGAAGCTCATTTCAAATAACTGCAACACACCTGGCAGGCTTTGTTTCACGGAAAAGGCTCAAGATTGCTCTAATAAAAGCTGAACACTTCTAACATACAGTTCTAAAGTTCTTAAGCTAGACAGAACATACAGTTATTTTGTGGTTTAGTTGTATGCAAACTTTCACATTGTTTTAGTAGCATTAAGACAAATTATGCAACTTAAAGAATAGTATCTGAAGACAAACCATGATGTTTCTTAAAGTAAAAAGTATAATTATATACTCCAGAGGGATGTTTTCTGACACTCAGCATTTGAATAATAGTATCTCTTATTTGCAAATATAGAAAGGGTTTTACTAAGCTGACTTACTAAAATGAGTCTTGCTTTGCAGATTGATAGTGCTGGACTTGCGACCTGCATTGAACTGTGTGTGAAAGCACTGCGCTTGGAATCCAGTGAAAATGCAGATGTCAAGATATCTATTTGCAAGACTATCTCCTGCCTGCTTCCAGATGATTTGGAGGTCAAACGTGCTTGTCAGCTGAGTGAATTTCTTCTTGAACCCACTGTGGATGCATATTACGCTGTTGAAATGCTATACAATCAGCCTGACCAAAAGTATGAGGAAGAGGATCTTCCAATACCAAATTCTTTGCGCTGTGAACTATTACTTGTACTGAAAACTCAGTGGCCTTTTGATCCAGAATTCTGGGACTGGAAAACTCTGAAGCGTCAGTGTCTGGCACTTATGGGAGAGGAGGCGTCCATCGTGTCATCAATAGATGAACTAAACGATAGTGAGGTTTATGAGAAGCTTGAGGATTGCCAAGAAGATACTAAAGAAGCTTCTATGAATGGACTTGCTGGCACTTTTGATGAAGCTACAAGTCTTCTTAATGATATTGGAGATGAAAAGCAGAAGAAGAGAGAAATTAAAAAACTCAGAGAGAGGGGGTTCATATCAGCTAGATTTAGGAACTGGCAAGCTTATATGCAGTATTGCGTGTTATGTGACAAAGAGTTCCTAGGACATAGAATAGTCAGGCATGCACAAAAACATTATAAAGATGGAATTTACAGTTGCCCTATTTGTGCCGAAAATTTCGATTCTAAAGAAAACTTTGTTCCCCATGTAACTCTGCATGTTAAAAATTCCAGCAAGGAGAGACTGGCTGCTATGAAACCACTGAAAAGACTGGGAAGACCTCCTAAAATAGCAACTGCCAATGAGAGTCAGAAAACTGATCCTGTATCTAAACAGGAGCAGCGACCCATTAAGAAGAACAGTCTTTATTCAACAGACTTTATTGTGTTTAATGATAATGATGGCTCAGATGATGAAAACAATGACAAAGATAAACCTTACGTACCAGATATAGTGCCAGTTCAGAAGCCTCTCCCTGTTAATGAATTCACCTGCCCTGTATCATTTTGTAAGAAAGGTTTTAAATATTTTAAAAACCTCATAGCACATGTGAAGGGACACAAAGACAATGAAGAAGCGAAACGTTTTCTTGAAATGCAAAGCAAAAAAGTGATTTGCCAGTACTGTAGACGACATTTTGTGAGTGTTACTCATCTGAATGATCACTTACAAATGCACTGTGGCAGCAAGCCTTATATATGCATTCAGATGAAATGCAAGGCTGGTTTTAATAGTTATGCTGAGCTGCTGACGCATAGGAAAGAACACCAAGTCTTCAGAGCAAAGTGTATGTTTCCTAAATGTGGCAGAGTGTTCTCCGAAGCCTATTTACTCTATGATCATGAAGCACAACACTATAATACCTTTACATGCAAAGTCACAAGCTGTGGAAAAGTATACCGTTCTCAGAACGAACTGGAAAAGCATGTTGAGGACCACAGCAAGCAACCTGAAGTGGTGCAGCAGCCTGAAGCAGTGCAGCAGCCTGAAAGCCAGACTAACGAGCCTGATCTCAGACAACATGCTAATGCTAATGAAAATACTGACGGAGTTGCTGTTAAAGAGGAATTGACACCTCTTCCGGCTGACAACCCAAGTACTTTTACCGAAGGAGAAAACATTGTGTGGAATGAAGTCAAAGCAGAACCAGCAGGGAATGAAAGTATAAATGCATCAGCAATTGTGCTGCAGCAAAGCAGTTCCTTGCCTAACGATGCAAGTTTCGAGAAGTCTCTTACAGGTCCAGTGAAGGCAGCAGTGGTGATTCCAGCAAGCAGGATTAAGGTGCCTGTTGTTAACCTAAAGATCCAAGATGACCTTGTAAAAAGAGGTAAATTGGCTGCTGTTGCCAGCAGAGTAGAGACCACTAAACCTGAAACCCAGCAGTTGTGCACGTTGGCTGACCCTTGTCTTCCAGGTTTCCAAGAGAGAAAGGAAGGAGATTGTCTCAGCCAGACTCACAATATTCAGAATATTTCTGTGACCTCAGACACGCTAAAACCAGAAGCCCTTGAATCAAAGAGCTTAGAAAGACAAGTGAACGTTGTAAATCCATTCAGTGTGCAGAATCAGGCGGGGTATCGAAACACTGTACCCATTTCCAAACTTGAAATTGAAGGCAGCATGAAGGCTTCAGTTAATCTATATAACCTGCCTTTAAAAACCTTAGAAAGTATTACATTTATTCCTTCACAGCCTAACATAAATAGCTCTTTGGTTCCGGCTGCATCACCAGCAGCCCCAGTTCGGAAATACACTTGTCCAGTCGATGGATGTACTCGAACATACAATTCGTCACAGAGTGTTGGCAAACATATGAAAGCAGCACACCCTGAAGAATATGTTGCTTTTAAACTGCAGTATAAAAATAAGAAACCAAGAAAATCCGTCGGTATGCAAAATGTGCCGAATGATGGTAAGATTGTTTATCTTGTGCCCACAAAAGTGGCCAATCACAGTGGTGCTGCTGTAATTGCACAGAACAAACCTAACTTGAATCCTACCGATTCCAGTCAAGTGCAACCTGTCTCAAGTGCACTTTTCCCAACCCACCTAGAAAATTTGGCCAATCCTGTGTTGCCTTCAGTGGGAAGTGTCATAAACCCAAGTTTGTCTGCTCCTATTAAAAGTGAGCCTGAGAGTGTTTTATGTTCACCAATGGAAAATCTGTCTGGTGCAACTTCACCTTCCCAGCTGGATGATCTAGCAAAAAAAGTTATGCCTCTGAATATTGACGGTGGTTCCGATCCTTTTCTTCCTTTACCTGCAGAAAATGGTCCAATGTCTCTCTTTCCATCGACAGAAGAGAATCCTCCGAATTCAGTCTTCTCACAAGTAGAAAATAACACAAATAACTTTTCATCACAACTAGAAGGAAACAGTAGCTCTGCTTTCACAAAAGAGGAGACTGTGGTTCAGCTATTTCCCTCACGACTGGGTAATGAAAATAACTTCATTGAAACCAGTTCTCAAGATCCAGCTTCAGAAAAGGTGAAAAAAGATCATGTCCGGAACCTAAATAGGAAAGAAAGGAAGCCAAAACATAACAAGCGGGCCAAGTGGCCAGCAATAATTAGGGATGGCAAATTTATCTGTAGTAGGTGCTTCAGAGTTTTCACTAATCCTAGATCACTTGGTGGTCACTTATCTAAGAGGTCTTATTGTAAGCCTCTTGAAGGAGCAGAAATTTCTGCAGAAGCTCTGCAGGCCAATGGACAGTCTCTGCTTGCCAGCATGATTGTTTCCTCAAGTTCATTAAATTTGCAGCAACCCCAGGAATCAGCCTTCAATCCAGAGACGTGTTTTAAAGATCCATCATTCCTCCAGTTACTTGCTACTGAAAATCATTCCACAGCCTTATTGAAGACTGTGTTTCCACAGGCCAGTGTGACTAACTTTAATACTGGTGGGAATGAGGAAGGAAATCAGATTATGAAACAAGCCTTGGAAACCGCAGGCATCCCGAGTACCTTTGATAACACAGAAGTGCTTCCACACATAGTTGCAACAAGTTGCATCACTGCTACAACTCAGATAAATGCAGCTGTTCTCCCCAGCTCAACCATGTCTCCTCTGGTGCAGCCAGCCGGTAACCCCAGTATCCTGCTTACTGACCAAAACAGTACCCTCAACACCAGACCCCGTCAAATAGTGTGCAGGCGTTTGCCTGTTTTTGCAAGAGGGGACACAAAGCTAAGCAGATTTGAAGAAGACTTCCTCGGTCCTGACTTATGTTTAGAACTTCTTCCACCACTGCGAAACATTGCAGTGGACATTTCAGAAGATTCAGCTATTAGTAGTCCTGAGGATACAGTATCAATTAACTTGAATAAGAAGGAAACCAGTGCTTCAGAGAAGAAGAAAAAAGAAACTATGCCTTTGCTTGCGCCCAACACATCACCAAAAGTAGCAGTAAATAATACAGTGGTAGGACTTCTAAACAAAAGCACTGAAGAAAACGTGCAAATGCAGAGAGAAGGTTTTCAGTCCAACTTGCTAGCCAATTGCGGCTCTCAAGTGGTGGAAGACCTCGCACAGAAACTCAACAATGTTGACAATCAGTCATTAATGACCAGTATCAAAGAGAACTTCAAAACAGATCTCGAGGCTCATACAACACTCCCACCTTTAACAGTAAAAAATGAAAATGGGGATTCTGAAATGGTGGCTGTAAATTCTTGTGTGGAAGCAAATTCAGAGAAGAGGATTTCAAAAGAGAGTCTTCTGCAGAACTTTGAAAAAACTCTGGAAATGCTTAAAGCTGCTTTGAATACAGACATACTTGAGGTGAAAACTGAAGTTCAGGATACTGTTCAGGATACTTCAGAACAGAAGTCACAAATAAATAACGCACAGGCTTCTTTAGGAGATCCTGCACATGGTGTAAAACTGCCGCAGTTTGCCGTGCATGTGGGGAATGTCAGTGCTGCACAGAGTAGCTCTGCTCAGTCTGAAGTGTCTCAAAAGGATGATACTCAAATGTTGGAAATTACGGAGCGCTTGCAAAAACTGAAACTAGATGACGATCCACCCATTCCAGCCTCCCAGACTGTTTCCCAGTGTCCTCCAGCACATACGGTAGCACCAGGAGTTCCTGTTGTATCGACTGAAAATAAAACCCTCTTCCAGCTGTCTGCAGAGGCAAGTAACATTCAGTTCAGTGATAAAGTTAATAAGCCTTTTGTATGTCAGGATCCAGGCTGCAGTTACAGTGCTATGACGAAAGACGCGTTATTTAAACACTATGGCAAGATTCATCAGTACACTGCAGAAATGATACTAGAAATTAAGAAGCATCAACTGAAGTATGCCCCGTTCAAATGTGTTGTAGCTACCTGTCCAAAAACCTTCACAAGAAACTCTAATCTCAGAGCACATTGTCAGCTTGTACATCATTTTACGACAGAGGAGATGGTGAAATTAAAAATTAAGAGGCCTTATGGCAGAAGATCTCAGAATGAGACCATAAACACAGCCCCACGGCCTGTTGAAATAAAAACTTTGCATCCACTAACAATAGGAACCAAAACTGCAGCTCCATTGATCAAAGAAGCTCAGACAAAGGAAGTCCTAGAGCCTGTAATAGTCTTGGAAAAACTTTTACCAGAGAACATTCCTGAAAGACTGGAAAAACCGCCCCAAGTGATTTCTGTTCTACCAGAGCAACATAATGCAGTCTCTTCTGGTAATACACAGGCAGAAGCCAAATTACACAAGGTTAGGAGGTACGGGACGGAAAAAGAGGACAGAAAACATAGGAAGCCTGTACCAAAGTCTCCGGAGTTTCCCACTAGATACAGCCCTTACAGACCCTACCGATGTGTCCATCAGGGCTGCTTCGCAGCTTTTACAATACAGCAAAACCTAATCCTTCATTACCAAGCTGTGCACAAATCGGACCTCCCAGCCTTCTCTGCTGAAGTGGAGGAGGAGAATGACCCAGGCAGAGAGGAACATAATGAGGTGGGAACCAAACCTGTTGTCAGAGAGTTCAGGTGTGAGGTAAGCGACTGCTCTCACATCTTCCAGGAAGTTACCGGCTTGATACAGCATTACATGAAGCTTCATAACATGACCCCAGAGCAAATTGGAAACATGAAACCAGCTCCAGAAGTGGGAAGGTTTTCCTGCGATCAGTCTCAGTGTAAGTCCTCATTTACAGCTTATCTTAACTATGTTGTACATCTTGAGGCTGATCACGGCATTAAGATAAAGCCAAACAAAGTAGAAGATGACGGCGTATTCAGATGTGACTGTGAAGGCTGCGACCGTGTTTATGCTACTAGGTCTAACCTCTTGAGGCATATTTTTAACAAACATAATGACAGGCATAAGGATCATCTAATAAGACCGAGGAGACTGACACCAGATCAAGAAAACAATTCAAGCAACGCAAATCAGGAGAAACCACTGAAGTCCAAACAGAGAGTACTAAAAAACAGATCGGGAAAAGAATGTAACAGGCTGTCGGGGAAAACAAAACTGAAGAAAAACCTGAACTTGGACAACAAAAACTCAAAAGGAATCCAAGTTGAAGAAAATCAGGGTTATTCACTGAAACGTGGCAAGCATGTGTATTCCATAAAGGCTAGAAATGATGCCTTGTTGGAATGTACAAGCAGGTTCATAACTCAGTATCCGTGTATGATAAAAGGATGTTCGTCTGTAGTTACAAGCGAAAGTAACATAATAAGGCATTATAAATGCCACAAGCTGTCCAAAGCATTTATTTCCCAACATAGGGATCTTCTTATTGTATCAAAAAAGCTCTCTGTCTTGCCAGTAAAGGAAGACACCTGTGAGCAAGAGGAGACTGATCAAAAAAGTGACGTGACAGAGCCTAAACCAAATTTGATTGTGAGCAATAATGACTCAAGCACGACTACATTACCACAAAAGGAAACTGACAAAAGTGAAAAGGACGAAGTGGATGAACTGACAGAACTATTCATTACTAAACTGATTAATGAGGACTGTTCAACTGCTGAAAATAAAGCAAAAATCTCTTCCAGTGTAAACAGGGACTTGCCAGAGACCAACTCCTGCCCCTCAGAAAAGCAAAAAATAAACTTAAAAAGAGCAAACAAAGAAAAAAATGTATGTCAGAGTAAGAAGAGGAAAGTTGAAAAACTGGAGGAAGTGCCGCCCGCTGACATGAGCAGCATGCACAGGGAGGAGGAGACTGCTGTAGCCATTCAAACAGCTGAAGAGCAACCTGCAGCTTTTGACTGGAGCTCCTTTAAACCAATGGGATTTGAAGCATCATTTCTCAAATTTCTTGAAGAGTCTGCTGTGAAGCAAAAGAAAACCACAGAAAGAGACTGCCACAGCACCGGAACCAAAAAGGGATCCCATTCAAATGCCCGAAAACACAACGAGAAGACCTCTGTAGCAAGTAACAATGTCACTTGGTCAAATTCCGAAAATGAAACTCTCATACCGTTTGCCAACCCATCACAGCTTCCCTGCGGTAACAACGTAAAGATTGTTTTAGACAAGACTTTTGTACAGACTGTTTTACAGAATACTTCTAAAGACTGCACTCAGCGTATGTTGCGGCAGCTTCAGGAAATGAAACCTGTCGTGGTACTGAGAAGGACCGAAGGACGCTGGGAGGATAATCCAGAGGTTTTAGCTGCAAAAGTTACTGTGAAGGGTCCCAAGGAAGGGGAGTCAAAATACTGAAAAACTAATGTGTTTAACTGTGACATGTAATAACATTTATTTTGACTAGGAAGCCATCAAGCATGTTAGTAACTGTGGACCTTTGATTTTGAAGTGATTAGCAAAAAACATGACATGAGTCATGTAAGTGTCTTATTTCTTTTTATCCCTATGGGACTTGAAGAACAGAGTAATTGCTTCAGCTTTGTAAATATTCCATCAAAACCTCAGCTTTATATCAGATTGTCCTTTCCATGAACTAAATCTTTGTGACTTGTCTGTGATTGTTCTCTTTCACCAGGTTATTGTTCATGTATAACAGTACTCTTTATTATTTGTAGATACATTTCTTTTTAGTATATATTTATTATTGTAAATCATCTGCTGCCACCAGCAGTCTATAAGTCTAAACTATTAAATTACACATTTATATTTGGAATTTTAATTTGTAACTAAGTAAGTAAGTTTTTGAAACTGTTCTTTAGTCATTTTAAATTAAGAACTTTTAAACTAAAATTAGCTAAGTCTGCCACATCCAGTTTTATTTTGCATAAAGCATTCATTTACCGGAGAGAAGCTGGATACAACCACATTTCATAAGTTAAACATACTGACACCCTCTCATTTTCGTAAATTATAACATCCAGAATCTATGGGTGATATTCATACGTAGTTAACACATAAATATAATAGTTTTCTTATAGGTACATTTTTCATTGCTTTTAATTGGATACAAAGCATTTATGATTCCGTAATAAAAATTGAAATGTGAATAAAAATAGTTTGCTACATTGGAGATCTAAAACAATATTTGGTATTAAAGAATCCATTGTGAATGTTATAGAAACTTAGTAGTGTGGAGCAGTATCTATATTTGAGGTGGTGATTTGTGAAGTAGCCCAGTATTGCCTTAAATAAAAACACATTTCATTTCTTATTTTATACATGTGATCTTATAAAGCTTATTTTTGTTTCTGTAACTTAGATGGGTGTATAGTTTAATTTTTGTTAAAAAAAAAAAAAACAGAACAAAAAGCTTCAGAAACCATTTTTGTAAATAATTGGTTTATAAAACAGATGGTTTATTTTGATAATACCAGTTTGGTATCTATCTATAAAATACGAGAGTCCTTATGCCATACCATTAAAAAATGAATAAATAAGGCACTTTCTGTGTTGCCTTCGTTGGCGTGGCGACCTGGTTCAGGAACGGCACGGCGACCAATCCCAGGCCGCTCGGGCCATCAGCTCATGGACACCAATGTGGTGGATGGCAATGGCGTTTATTGGCGACTAGCACGGTGTTATATAGCCTGGGTTTACAACGTCACGTCCGTCTGCTTACAACCTAGGCTAGGCCCTGTTGGCTACTCGGAGGGGGGGTCTTATCTTTCCGTACAGCGCAACATCTTCTGATCGCCAGACCCTAACTACCTACATTTCCCCCCCCCATGTTTAATTAAATAGGCTAATATAAAAAGTAGAAAAGGGTACATATATACATATAAAAAATGTTACAGCATGAGGCACTTCAGGTTAGTGGTTAATGGCTTTGGGTAAGTGGTTAGGGAGGGGTAATTAAGGGAACAGGTTGTAGGTTGGGGCAACTTGGGATAAGTGGGGGTAATACTGAGTAGATACATTCTTAAAGTAGTTGGTGGCTTTCTACAAACATGATGTTAACCTGTTCTAGCCAGCTATTGGCAAATAACACAAGGCGATTCAATACACAGGGTCTGAAGAGTAATACCAGCACGATCATTCTACTTGCCCTATAGTAACAAACCCCAAAATCAAAATCAGACAAAGGCATCGTGGCCCCCTCCCTTGGGGGCTATTTTGCTGTTGCTCGGGTTCCGCCGGTGTGGAGCTCCTGGGTACGGACGGGATGGTTGGTGACTTGTCGTCCTCTCGTCACTGGGGTGTATGAGTTATGAGGGAGTTCGATGATCTAATCCCGTGAACAGAAACTCACAATTTTCATTAGTTTTATTCTGGAGGTCTAGTTTAATGGGTTTAAGTGGGCACCACCTAACTGCCATTTTTTCCAACAGTGGCATATCCTCGCCCTGTAAGGGCTAGCCTCCATCGTTGTTCCCATCCCCATCTCCATTACTGTTTTATATCGAACGGGAGCATATCGCCTCTTCTGAAAACACCGTCTATGAGAGTGGAGACCATGGCAGAATTAAGCCCTTTATCCGCAATTGCCTTAACAATTGCTTGTACATCCTTAAGGTTTATTGGCGAGTGCACCCTGTCCCCCGTCTGTCACCCGGACTGGGAATGCTAGTTTGACTGATGGGGCCCAGTCGGCAGACGCAATCTTTATTTCCTTCCAGTCCGTGAGAGGGACTTCTTCCCCTCGCCGCTCCTCTTTAGTCCGGGTGGGAATACTTTGGCTCTTGACTTTGTTTACCCCCGTTTCCTCCTCCTCTGAGTCTGAATCGGTTGCGAGCCACTCGTCCCACGTAGTATCTGAGTCCGAGTCGGAAGTCGACTGACCGGTTACTTCAGGTTTCCCGCGCCTTTTCACTGGGCTCCGGCCCCGCCCGCTTTTCTTGCGGGCAGGCCGTTCCCTCCCTCTGGGCTCACCCCGCCTTCCTGGTTCGCCCCGCCCCCTGCTCCCCGGGGTGTTTGCCCTACAGTGGCTTTTCTTCAGATGGCCGCTCTGATTGGCTGTCCGCCCCTCGCTCGCGCGCCCCCCCCCTTGCGGCCCCCCCCCCGTTTACTCGCGCTTGTTAGTTCTAGCACTTCCTCCTTCTTCCCGCCGGGAGCATCTTCGCCCCGCCCTCCTTCTCTCCGCTCGGCGCCACTTCGGGGCGCATAGGGCGGCGGGATGACCCCAATTGCCTCGGACTCCTTCTCCGCGGCGCCCCTGGCCTCCTCGACCAACCCACCCCAAAAGGATTTTGTTCGTTCCTGTCCCTCCGTAGGCGGGTCGGGATTCAGGGACTGGGGAGGCGTGTCGCCTTTCTGCATATCTTTAGGCTCAGTAGAGCCGTCACCGTCTGGGGGGTGCGGAGTTTGTGTAGCTGCCCCGACTCCCAATTTAGGGGTGGCCCACAAACAGTTCTTTGCTGCCTTCCAGGTCTCCTGCTCTTGCATGGCCTTCCACAGGGCCTGTACGACTTTCCCCCACGACTTAAGGTATTTCCCACAACCCGAGGACATCGTCTCCTCCGCTAACACTTTAGTGCATTTATCCCACACCTCAGGGTGGAGAATATCCACTGGCTGGTCAATGACCCCAGTTTGTAAAAGCCTCGCAACTGCGAGAGTAAAATCTTTGGGCTTACAATCAATACCCCACTGCTTATGTAACTGAGATACGACCTTCACAAGGGCTTCCGTCCTCCTTGTTGGTCCGGGAGCATCCTCCCCCCCGGACTGGTCCAGCCGCTCCGGCCGCCGTTCACCTGTCCAGACGATTCCTGGGTTTCAGCACCACTTGTTGCCTTCATTGGCATGGTGACCTGGTTCAGGAACGGCACGGCGACCAATTCCAGGCCGCTCAGGCCATCAGCTCACAGACACCAATGTGGTGGATAGCAAATGGTGTTTATTGGCGAGTAACACGGTGTTATATAGCCTGGGTTTACAACGTCACGTCCGTCTGCTTACAACCTAGGCTAGGCCCTATTGGCTACTCGGAGGGGGGCTCTTATCTTTCCGTACAGCGCAACATCTTCCGATCGCCAGACCCTAACTACCTACATTTCTGAAAAGGAAGTGAGTGTGATCTTACAGACAAACTCGGTGGGTGTGCTCTATAGATGGCTTGGGCTCCCCCTGTGTTCTTATGCCTCTTGCTGACTGTACCTGGCAGCACTCTCGCCACCTCTCTCCCCTTTCCACACTGGAATGAGCCTTGGAAGCGGTGCCACGTATAGTGCCCAGGATAGGAACAATTTCTCCATATATATTTCTGCTACTAACCGAAATGACAGGTATCTGGTCTGTTGAGTAACCAAAAGCATGAATGCGTTGGTGGGACATGTCAGTACCCAGGAATCTTCAGTGTTAAGTTTTCATGCATGCTTGTACTTAACTTGGATGGGACACACCATCTGGATTGTGTGGTACCAAAAATTTTGCTTGGATTCTTCTCATACTGGATGTGACCTACCTTCAGTAATATAAAATAGTCTATCTTGGGAGAGACTGGCTTGATTTTTTTTTTTTTCCCCCTATAAACTTGTCTTGCCATGTAAAACTGCATTAAATGCTACACTTGATTGCTCTCAAGCTATTCACCTGGAATCTTTGGCAGTTTACTTGAATATCGATGCAGAGGGCACATTCCTACAACCAAATGAAGTGACTTGTCATGAGGGTGAGGATTATGTGCGAAAAAGCAGAAAGGCAACAGCATTTCAACTTGGCATAGCCCTTGGTTTGCTATCTGGTGCTAAATTGCATACCCTCACAGAAAGCCTGTGCTTCCATTTGAACGGAGCCCATTTGCTTCTCTCACTTCTAATCCCTCCCGAGGGGCTATACTGGTAATTCTGCCAAATGAGTAAATGAAAGGTGCGGTCTGAGGGGTAAAACCATACCAAATCCTTGTGGTTTAACTCTACGAGAGGTTACAAGTTCATGCTGTCATATTTTACCTGTGAGAGACCACACAGTCTCCTTGGATGGAGTTGCTGTCTGAAACAAGCTGCAGGGGAAATCTCTTCTACAGGAAGGTGAATCTGCTGTGATTGTATTCTGTGAAGAAGAGAGCAGAGGAGCTCCTCTGGAGAGGATCCACACAGCTTGCCCAAAATCTCTTGGTTTCAGAGAGATACCCAGCCACTGCAGTCGCTGTTGACAGACCTCACGGTTTTTTTAGAACTTTATGTTGCGTAAATAAAATGGTTTCAACACTGACATTCTCAATGATAGATAACTGTATCAGCTGCGGTTTTAGGCTGAGAACAGCATACTACTATTTAGCTACATGGTGCTATAGTAGAATGCTACTAAAAAAAGGGGGGGGGGGAGAAATTCCAATGTTATAAATATCCAGGAAATAATTTCTAACTTGGGTCTGAATTTCTGAGAATAAAATTTTTACTATTGTCTCATTCTTATCCCAATTATTCCGATTAAAGAGGGTGCTGCACCAGTAGAGTCAGTGCCCTGCACAGCACACTCCCTTTTAAGTGGGTACTGACAGCCTGTCCAAAAAGTAAGCGAGTATGGTAGGGTTTTAAAAAAGCATGTTAAAGTGGGGGACTAACGCCAGGGTCTGATTTAAGATACCATGTACTGCAGAGAGCGCTGTAGTTCAGTAAAGCCACCTACAGAGGTTCCTGAGGAAATAGATTTGGTATTTGCATTCAGATATTTTACCTCGAGTGATGCATAAAACATCCCAGTACAGCTGCGGGAGTATCCCTGAAGTGACAGCTCCTCCAGAGTTGGGAACCGTACCCCTGCTTTGCCACCCAGCCTTTCTCTGTCTTCTCTCCTTCCTCCTGTGTGTCTCCATCTTCCAGACACATCACCCATGAATTGTGGTGCCATTGAGCAAAGGTACTTTCTTTTAAACCCCTTGTCACTATGGGGAATGTGCTGACTAAGCCAGTAGTTGCTGATGGGGAAGTGACCAATTCGGGGAGTCTGGATGCAGAGCACAGAGCACATAGGTTTCTGATTGAAAGACACCTCTAAACTAGCAGTCAGCCTCTCTTCTGGTTAACTCTGTAAAGAAATCTGATATTGTCTGAGCCCTGAGTCAGTGTAAGAGCAGTGGGTTTGTGTTCACATGTTCTGGGGTGGTCATTCTTAGCAGGATGGGGGGAGGGCTGTTGGCCCTAGAGCATTCTGCTGGGATGTCCTGCCTGCGGCTGTTGGACAGTGAGGGAGCGATGCTTGTAACGCTGCAGTCATCGGTCCAGGTGAGTTAAAGTAGTTGGATATATTCTTACAATTAGTTTCTGTGACAAAGAATTGGTTGGGGCTCTCACCTGTGTGGGCAGAGACAAGCTATATCCCCAGGTTTAGCCCCCTCCCAGGCTAGAGAAGCTCCTGGTTTTGTCTTGCTCACCCCTGGCTGGAGCCTTGGTGTGGAGAAGATGATCTGTTGAAGGGGTGGGAAAATGGGGCTCGAGGTGGTGGAGATGGAAATGGAGGGAAGAAACAACCAGCAAATAGGGAAATACTTTTTTGTCACAGGGCAAGGAGATTATTTAAACAGGGGGAGTTCAGGTTAGATAAAAGGAAGAGGTCCTTCACTGTGAGGGTGGTGAGGCACTGGAACAGGTTGCCCAAAGAAGTGGTAAGTGCTCAATCGCTGCCAGTGCTCAAGGGCAGGTTGGACAGAGCCTTTGGTGACATGGTTTAGTGAGAGGCGTCCCTGCCATGGCAGGGGTTGGACTAGATAGATGACAGTCCTTTCCAACCCAAACCGTTCTATGATTCTATGATTCTGTATCTGTGTAAGACTTGGACCTTTTAATGTTTGCAGAAATGTTTTGAAATATGAATGTGCATGCAGCAGTTGCATGGCCTTAGATCAGTTTCCTACCAGTTGCTATGTGCTTGAGGAGACTGTGCTTTCACACTTTAAATAGCACTTGAATTGATTTTTAATGTTTACTGATTTGGAACATGAATACACAAAAAAGCCCTTAAAACTTTAGGCTAGGGACGGAGGCTACAAACTCATCTGAACAAAAAACATAAGAGCAAACAACTTCAGGGATGGATGGGTGAGTGAAAGTGGAGCAAAAAGGAGTATAAAGGCAGGGAAGAGCCTGCGGAAGGGAAAGAACCATTAGAAGATCAAATGTTGGACCAAGAGCAAGGGCTCAGAAAGTAGGTGTGTTTCTGTTCTCTCAGGTTAAATAACATCTGGCAGAGCCACCTTGTGTGATGCTTATTTCTTTAGTAGCTCTATCAAACACCCTGATTTTGCAGGACATGCTGCTTGGTTTCAATGGGTAAGTCGGGGTCACACAGATAGTCCATAATAATTTTTCAGACTATTTCTCAATGTAAGATGCTGGCCTTGTCAAAACTTGCAGTATCATCCAAGACTTGAAATGTCGATTTTTGGAATTTATTTATCCTTTCATGGCTGTCAAAGATAGAACTAAAACCTTGAATATACATTCCAAATAATTAAAGTTCTTGTTTTACAGGAACATCTGGGGACCGAGCGAGAAGCTCCACCAGTCGCAGAGCTTTAGGAGATGCTGTAAAACCCTTCAAGCCCTGACTTAGTATACTTCAGCATTAGACAGCAGCTAATGCACAAATTTGATCAGAAACCTGTGTTGGCTAAACTGTGTTTGCTTCTGTTTTCTCTCAAATAAACCTTGTTGGTTTTTTTTTAAATGACTGAATACTTTTTCATTCATGTGCTGTTTTAAAATCTGTTCTCGATGAAAAAAGCAGTCACTATGGAAGCATTTTTTACTTTGATGGTGTTGCCCTTGTCTTAAAAAATGAGGCATTAGGATACAAAAAGGCCAAGATAATTTGGGGTTTATTCTCCACCTGTGGCTCTCCTAGTTATACAGGATTGCAGGGCAGTGGCTTTGCTTCATGTGCTTCTTGGGGAGGCAGGGTTGTCCAGTCACAGGAGTTTCTAGCTGTATTTCTGCCATGAGCCGTATTCTGTCTACTAGAGATATAACAGAACATGTTCTAAGTGCTGTAAAGCACAGTCTCCATACGCATGCTGACTGAGCATCACTCAAGATGTAAACCTTTAACTGGCCAGAAGCTGGCAAGCTGGTACCTGAGGCTGCTCCTGTCAAGCTCAGGAGCAGCAAAAGTACTTTTACCTTTTGTAAAAGCAGGTTTATTTTGGGGGGGGGATTAAAAAAAAAATAGTGCATAGTTTATTCATTACTTCTTAAAGTTAATTCTGTAACTGCTACACCAGGACTCATAGAGGTAATGCTTTGTAAGCAAAGATGAGGGGCAGTGAGTGAAAAAAATAACTAGTTGACATGCTTCTACTACTGTTTCCTTCTCTTTATCCTGGCATGAACAATAACATCAGTTCAGCATTAAGGCAGCTCTGCTTACTGCAGATGGTGTTTTTCTCTAAAAGGTGTATTTTGATCAGACTCAGTACTGAGGTATGTCCAGAGGTCTTTCATTCCAGCAACAGAAATGTATTTCAGCTACCCTGAAATATGTCTTTTTAGGTGCCAATTTCTATCATCGCACAAGTCTGGGTTCAACAGAAGACTAGATCCTAGAAGACATCGCTACTGACAGCCAGGACTACTGGCTTGCCATGTTGTGCAGGCTACATTTCACCACTCGGATCCTGGGGAACTGGGAATGATCTTTTTCCATTAAATGCCACAGCCACGGAGCAGAAGAAAAAGTTAAATTACTGAGAAGATGCTTGGTGCAGGTGACCAGGAGTTAACTCTGGTACATGCTGCCTGCACAAGTTTGAGCAAGTACCTTTTCTTACACACATGCTCTGATGACAAATGCCCTAAAATCTGTAAAGGGCTCAAATACCTCCAGAAGGAAATGCTGCATAAATAGCTTAATAGCCAGGCCTGTCTTCGTCACCATGGGCTAAACTAGATGTGTCTGCCACTTCTTATTTTCTTTCTTTTTATTTTGAGATGTTTTACAGTAGTCCAGTGGAATGGGCTTGTGCCCACCGAGCTCACTTCCACACACCAGCAGCCGTCATATGCCAGTGCCTTATACTCGCTATTTCAACCGTTGTCAGAGCCACCCACTCAACCAATGCTGTACATCCTCTTACTGTTCAGCATCTTCATCAATCCCAAGTTCTTCCAACTCTCCCTATAAAAAGCCTCCTTTTGCTTGTACCAAAGCAATCCTGTGTAATATTCAAAACACAGCTCGTTGAGCAATTGTTTAGGTGTGATTTATCATAAGCATCTGCATTTATATTGAAGCTTCATGGAGTTTTCAGATTTCTATACCTCTTGTTTCACCATGAAAAGATTTAGATGATTCTATGTATGACATGCACAATGTGACTGAATTTATCTTCTCAAGTCAGGGGGAATTACAGACAAAGAGTATTTCCTACATAACTATCTATCTTTTCAGTTCTGTAAAGCATGGATTGGAAAAGCAATTGGCCAAATACAGTTTGTGCAGCAGGAAGTGGTCTCCAGCCTTCTTTCAAATTGACAGGGAATTTTTTTCACATTCATCTTGCATATTCAGAGGCAGGGATGGGGAGCAGTCATGGAACCGTCCTGCAGCTGCTGCTCTGTTGTGAATGATGGTTTCTGATTTGTGGCAATCGCTTTCTGAGTCTTGATGTTTCTTTATGTAAATCTTCAGATACCATTTTACAGAGTATTTGAAAATGAGGTAACTTAATTCACTTAGATTTAATACAATGCACAGGCAGGAAGTTGCCACCAGAAAATAGAGGAAAATCATCTTCTCTGTAGGTTTGGAAATATAGCAGTCTACAGTATTGGGACATGGTCTTATATCACATTTCACAAGACGTGGTACTTTGAATCCATTGTACAATTTATAAAACAGAACAAGAAAAACTATTTCAAATCCTGTTTTTAAGATAAGGCTGACAAGGTAAGTGCACAGCAATCCACCATCTCTCTCTCCTGCACTTTTATAAAGTTTCTGGTTATGGCGTTTCTCTCTGTTCTCTCGGTAAGCGACATGAAAAACAACCAAGAGCGAAGGGGTGGAGACCATGATTAATTGCAAAGCCCAAAGTCTGATGTGGGAGACAGGGAAAAAATGGTCAAAGCAAACATTCTTGCAACCAGGCTGCTTGATATTGCATTCAAATTCATCTTGTTCATGTTTCCAGATGTTTTCTGCAGCTGCAACGTAAACCAGTAAGCAGAATATGAACACAACTGCTACCCAAATTCTTCCAATTCCTGTTGAATATTTATTCACTCCACTCAACAGATCACGTAGGAATCCCCAGATCATTTTTCTCCTCAAGGAAAGAAGGAAATGCTGTACTGAAGAAACACAAGATCAGAGAGACGCTTCCTCTTGGGCAAAGAAAACTGAGACGTTCATTCAAGGTGAAACATAAGCAGTAGCTGAAGCAATTTAGAATTATTAAGCTTTTAAAAAGGAAACCAACAACAACAAACTGCTCTTAATTCTGATAATTTGAACCTTCTGAGGCTATTACACAAATCTCATTTGCTGTTAAAACAGATTTTGTCTATCAGGCTGAAGCCTAATAATTCTAGTAAATTGTCCTCTGCGAGTAAATGTGGCTGTTCTTCCCGAGGGTCTCCTGAGCATCATGTAGAGATTTCTCCATCAAGTTCAGGCTAGCATCCTACCACTGAGGTACACACAGCTTAGCCCTGTAGTTATTCAAAATACTATGCACAGCCAAATCAGATTTCACTTTCAAATTTCAGTATAGGAGCCACGTGTCCCACAAAAGGTTGACTACCAAAATGCAAATGGTTTTCTTTTTGCCTGTGGTCTAACTTCCCAGCAAACTTGTGCGGTATTTTAAATCCTGTTCTGTTTCACTGGATTTTATTTGTTGTATTTCTTATCATGAAAGAAATGCACTAAGATTTCCTCAAAAAAATATTTTTTTAATAGTTTCTTTTCCATACAAGTCTTCCTCTGTCCTAACTCTGCAACCCTTCTTTTGGAAAAGCAGTCTAAGGAGCCACTGGTAGCCAGACTCTCCTCAAAGTCAAAAAAAGCCCTGACATAATCACCAAGAGCATACAGTCACCTTCCCACCAGGCCCCGCACTGAAGGACTCTGTGGATCTTTGAGGATATGAAGCTTTGTTTTCTAAGAACAAAAAGTAGATGTCTTCCCAGGACACAGAATGGCTGGGAGACATGAGGAGGGAAATCTGAAATTCAGATTTGTGAATCTCAGATTCCAGATTTGCGTCTTCTACCTTTTAACTTCCTCATCCCATCTACTGCTCCTGCAAGTTCTGCCTAGCAGGAGAGAAAATGTACCCCTTTGAAGCTGTAGTGGCACACGCAAATCCCACTGCTGCTGTTGTAGCTGCAATTGGCACTGAAGGATGAGCAAGTCAACTGGGAAGTCTGAGCGCAAGCAGCAAAGAGGCCACAGCACCACAAAGGTCAACAGAGACGGAAAGCTCAGTACTTCTTTTGCTGTCCCTTGATTTTACAGCCCATCATGACTTCTGCCTATGGCCAGAATTCTGCCAGAAAGCAAGGTTATTTGCCTGTTTGAATATTCCTGCTTTGCTACCATTAGAGCTGTTGACTTACTTGAAGAGCTGAGGGACAGCTGCAGAAATGAGTATTTCGCTGATCTATACGGATGCTGAAGGATGTTGAAAAAAGATATTTTCACAAAGAATGGTTACCAAGCTACTCCTTTATGCTGCAGGTAAAAAAGAATAATGGGAATATCAGTTGGCTTATATTCTATCAGACATATGCTTATATGCTTTTAAATACGTTTTGCAGGGTGGTGACTTTGTCATTAAAGAACTATTTCTGTCCTCCATGTCTGCAGTCAGAGCTCAAGCAGAAGTTTAAATCAGGTTCTTCAAGACATCAGCACTGGGGCTTTAATGCTTTCTAGATAAGTCAATACATCAATCTCAAAGGAGCTGAATAGCAAAGCATTTTACTTAGCATATTACTGCTATGTAATAAAGTACAGACAAGGAAACAAAACATTCTCATCAGTGAGCATGAATATTAACACGTGTGAATGCATCTTGTGGATGAGCTGACCTCTGGAGGAGATTTGAAGGAAAACCTCAAAAGGCCTTTCCTAGGATTCACAAGTGCAGTAGAAGGGAAGACTGAATATTGTTATTCCATAGGAAAAAAGCACAGCTGTGAGTGGGCTTTTGCTAATGGCCATAAGATCTGCACCATCCCTTTCTAATGTAAAAAGCCTAATGTCATCTATCAGTCCATGACTAGAGTTTCACCAGTTCTGAGCTTCCAGCTGAACAAGTCAGGACAGATATGCAAGATGTGCCATATAAAGGGTATTAGAGTAAATGTCACCCAGATTAATGAAGACTGAACTTTGAAAATGCAATTAATTCACTGAAGAATTGTGAAGAATGCATGATAGAAGAAAAAAAAATAGATTTCAAAGATATGGAGTTCCTCAACAAGTTGAGAAAATTGCCCTTATGGCACAGCACAAGTACAGACTAATGAAAAGTTAAATTAGCTGAGGCTAGAGAAGACAAAGACATTACATGGGCTGTATGAAGTTCAGAGCAAGGTGAGGATTCAGAGGACAAAAAAGAGAAATCTTCAAGTAAGCACACAACTGAGCAGTAAGAAACAGACGACAGTGGTATGAGGTTTTGTAACATTTCTAGAAGCAGCAGTACACATGGAAGCAGATGCCAAGAGCAGTGTCAGGGCATGGCACTTCAGCAAAATTGTGTTCTGACTAATGTAATGACAAGAGAGCAGAAAATGTGAATTAATTCACCTAAATTTCCATCAGCTCTGCTAATGTCATTACTCTAAAAGCAGAAAAGGTACGTTGATGCAGAGGAGAACAGGGACAAAAAAAATAAGAAAATGCAAAAACAAACTGGCCAACTAGAGAGGAAATAGGGAAAGAATCCAAAGTGTTAGCAGCACAAAGAAGGCAGGCAGCTCAGAGCTTGCAGAGCAGCAAGTTACAGGAAGAAGGTGTGGTATTATGGGAAATAGAGATGGAACAATGAGCACTAACAGAAAGAAAACAAGCCTGGAAATGGTAGATCTATGCATTCTGTACAGGCAAGCCAAATTACCCTCATAGGCTGAGAGATGGAAAAAGTTTCTTTTTCTGAGAGTATTTTGCTGCACCTGCAACTTACCCTTTTTTGTTCTTTGATTTATTTGATGGGAAGAAAGAGAACTGTGAGTACTGGCAAAAATGCTAAAGCAGAGAGCACAAGTAGCAAAATCACAGGGAAGGATACAGGATCATAAAAAAGCAGAGTCGATAATAATCTTGAGAGTTCATCCTCTCCCTTTTTGTTACAATTTAACCAAAACACCATTGCAGCACTTTTTTTTACAAACCAAGAATCATCTCAATGTTATGAGGAAAATAAAAAAAAATTAAAATCTTTGGCACAATGGTTTCCATAAATGACCAAACAAATAATGAAGCTTAACCTTAGATGTTCATTTAGTAACTTCATTTTCCTTTTATTTTCTTTGTTTGCTGATATAAGGCTGTGCTCATCCATTTTATGGTTGCCAAGCCTTTGTGCTTGTTTCATGGAGTGCCCACTGCTTTCTTACTGACTGCCAGCGGTGTGAAGTCCACAGGCTGAGAAATACTGATTTGCTTCATTCTCTGACCCTAAGAAGGCTTCATTGTGCATATACTGTCCCTGACAGTTCAGTCTGCTCTTAACACTGATGGAAGCTCCACTAGCCCCCACCCTGGTGCATCTACTACAGTGTTCTGCTACAGACGAAGAGGGAGCTGGAAATCTCCTGGGAACACCAAGGTTCAATATAGCTCCATTCAAAGTTACTCTACCAAACTGCATGTGCAGCAGCTATTCAAACTGTTGCATGTATGTGATAGGAACTGAAAAATTTGCTGCAAGTGACTATCTCGTAATGCCTTTGTTTCTTGTTCAACACTGTGACTTCCCAGTCCTTATGAAAGAGCCAACAAGAGAAAACAGAAAAGTCATAAAAATTAACTTTGCTTTGTTCAGACAACTCATCACAAAATGAGTAAAGCTGTATCATTAACACACTATTGATACTCATTGCTTTCTGAGGCTCTCCAGAAACAAGTCAGGTAAGGCCTGACAACCCATGAGCAAAAATAATCCTCCTGGTCTGCATGCTGGCCAAGCTGTTTACTTCTGCCATGACTGCTGCTAGTGATGGTTCAGAACACTCTGTGGTTCTCGGGCTGATGTAAGCCAGACGTTTTCCACTTATTTCGTTCTTGAGACACCTCCAGCGTAAGCAGAGGCCCTGTGTACAAGATGTACTAGCAATAGCTTGCTCTTCTCACAGCTCAATAAAAAGTGATCTATAGACACTTCAGTTTGAACTTCATTGGTATAAACCCTTTGTTAATGTGTAATAAGAAATTGAGTTCTCTCCTCAAAACATCAACAATCTAGACAGAGAGAACATGTGCTGTGGAGGAGGAGATGTCCACTGGAGAGGTGATGTGCTTTATCTAGCATCACTCAGCACATCAGAGGCAGAGCCAAGAAAAGACCCATGGTATCTCATACCCTTGTCCCTTGCTTTCCTCTTCCTTAGCTTATTGATTATAACTTCTCACTGTTTCATGCCTATAATTGTCTTCCAGCTCCTTGGAGCAAGAAATAAGCCGTTTGGTACATTGGAAAATAAATGGGTATGGTGATATTAAAAGTAGAATACCACGGACAATTCAGTAGTGCTTAAGATATACATCTGGTGTGTAAAAACATTAGTGTAGGTATTTATTTGTCAGCTGACTACAGGAAGGGAAAGAAAAAAAACTAGATGGCAGAGGGTTTAACTGGTCATTTAGCACAAGACCAGAGCTTGCTTGTTTGGGTTTTACACCTGACTTTCCCATAGACTTCTGGAGTGGTTTGTAATAAATCTCCTTCCTTTCTGGGCTTTGGGATCTTAGGTGCCAAGCATTCATTTATCTGAAAATATCACTTATAAACTACATCTTCAGTAGGCTTCATATCCTTAAGCATGCCTGGCATTCTTTTTTATAACCAGTGGTGGCAAAATCGTGTCTTGTTTTTGTATTTAGGGAAACCACAAACACCACTTAATAACCCAGATGCTGCTGAATGTGATGCTTTGCCAGCTGCTAATTGCTGTGGTCTCTCCTCCACAGCAATGAATGGGTTTTGAGAGAGGGCAGACACAGTTTGCTTTGTTGCTTTGGTAAACTGTGTAATTAAAAACAAACAAACAAAAAAAACCAAACCAAAAAACAAAACAAACAAAAAAAAACAAACTCAGAAGTAGCCAAAATTACTTTTTTTTTTTTTTAAGTCATGATGTCTGTATTTGGACTACACAACTGCTACTGAATGTCTCATCACCTCTGTGCCAAACCAGTCACACATCTCTCCCATGCTCTCCTGCTGTAAGCACAAACTCCCTCTGCAGCAAATTACTTTCGACATTAAGAAGTATTACTGCTCAATTCAGGCTACTGTTGTAACACTTTAGTCAGCTCATTAAAAAAATGAATTGATAAAGTCAGAAGATTTATACTTGTGACTGTTACTGGCCACATTTACAGTCTGTGACTCCTTAGTAGTTATAAAGCATTGCAATAGTGCAATGAAAAGAGGATTATATCTGTGGTTTATGCTGGCTGATGGGACATTTTATGAGACTATTCTAAAGCCTCTCTGACATTAGAAAAACAACTTCTCATTTGGTAAAACTATGTTTTATAACAAGAAACTCTAACTTACCTGTGCTTCTCTGAATAATTACACCCAGACCAAAGCCTTCTAGTGGCATTAACAATCAATGACTCATTTCCAAGAAAGAGAGTTAATGCTTTAAACCTTGAAAATGGAAACTGCCTGTCTCCTAGGTAATACAAACTAAAGGAGTGAAACCTGATCATCTCTCCTGGCACACTGTTCAAACTAGAACCATAACATGTCTTGTATCACCATAAAGATATGAGGAAACTACAGCATTTGTTTAAAGTCACAGACTTCGTCTGCATCTTTTGAGCACTCACCGGCATTAGGTCTAATGCTGCACACTTAGTGCTTTCATGTTAGTGACAGCACAACCTGAAGACACGTGTTGTGGCATCCACAGCAGAGGGCAGCGATCATAGAACCACAGAATCCTAGAATGGTTTAGGCTGGAAAGGAACTTAAAGATATCCAGTTCCAACCCATCTGCCATGGGCAGGGACACCTTCCACTAGACCAGGTT